AAACTCGGGCCCGCGAGCCAATTGCGGCCCTCTGTACCGTTTTATGTGGCCCTTCTGCTGCTAACACAAAGTCGCCATTGAGGCACTTTGACAATATCATCAAACTGACTTCAGCTCCACCGATACAGCCATGTTATACCGTGTTGTAAATCTCAGACCCTCTGGAATCCAGTTGTTGACTCTATTGTTATTTACTGACTTTTGTGTTATGATTGTGTCACAGCATTCTAAATAATATGCAGCTGCGAATCAATAAGGACGTATCATAACCCATTTTAACCCATAGGCGCCACGGTTGACTTAAGTCGACAATGTGTGGTCATGTTTTTAAATGGCCATTTGTGTCAAAATTCATTCAAGCTCCCTGCCACAATTTTTTTTTGCATTTTTTACTATTTCCCGGACCATTGAGTGGGGTACAATGTGAATTCTGTTTGTGTTTTATGTCCTATAGCGATCTGTGTCTGTCAGTAAAACCATATGAAGTCAAAATATTAGATGGGTACATTTCATTCCTACAGAAACTTTGGGAAATCCTTATGATTTCTAAAATTAAAGCCTCTATCTCTTATCACTTTTAAGTTATTAAGATATTAAGATGTAGCCTCTTGCGCCTAAAGGGTTAATATCCAGAATCCAGTCAATCCAGCTTGAATCCATTATTTTTTTTCAATCCACGTTGTCGGCCCCACGTCAAGTCTAATTAACTAAAGTGGCCCTCTTGCTAAAAAGTTTGGACACCCCTGCCCTGAGAGATGCAAAGGAGACATTTTGGAAGCATATAGTGGGGAATGAATAGCAGTCTGCCTCCTCTCTCCTCGCTCCTCACTCCTTGCTCCTCTCTCCTCTCTCCTCTCTCCTCACTCCTCACTCCTCGCTCCTCTCTCCTCTCTCCTCACTCCTCACTCCTCGCTCCTCTCTCCTCGCTCCTCACTCCTCACTCCTCGCTCCTCTCTCCTCTCTCCTCTCTCCTCACTCCTCACTCCTCGCTCCTCTCTCCTCGCTCCTCACTCCTCACTCCTTGCTCCTCTCTCCTCTCTCCTCACTCCTCACTCCTCGCTCCTCTCTCCTCACTCCTCACTCCTCGCTCCTCTCTCCTCTCTCCTCACTCCTCACTCCTCGCTCCTCTCTCCTCGCTCCTCACTCCTCACTCCTCGCTCCTCTCTCCTCTCTCCTCTCTCCTCACTCCTCACTCCTCGCTCCTCTCTCCTCGCTCCTCACTCCTCACTCCTTGCTCCTCTCTCCTCTCTCCTCACTCCTCACTCCTCGCTCCTCTCTCCTCTCTCCTCACTCCTCACTCCTCACTCCTCGCTCCTCACTCCTCGCTCCTCTCTCCTCTCTCCTCTCTCCTCTCTCCTGGCTCCTCTCTCCTCTCTCCTCTCTCCTCGCTCCTCTCTCCTCGCTCCTCTCTCCTCACTCCTCACTCCTCGCTCCTCTCTCCTCTCTCCTCTCTCCTCTCTCCTGGCTCCTCTCTCCTCACTCCTCACTCCTGGCTCCTGGCTCCTCACTCCTCGCTCCTCTCTCCTCGCGCCTCTCTCCTCACTCCTCGCTCCTCTCTCCTCGCGCCTCTCTCCTGGCTCCTCTCTCCTGGCTCCTCTCTCCTCACTCCTTGCTCCTGGCTCCTCTCTCCTGGCTCCTCTCTCCTCTCTCCTCTCTCCTCACTCCTCGCTCCTCACTCCTCGCTCCTGGCTCCTGGCTCCTCTCTCCTCGCTCCTCTCTCCTCTCCCTCCTCCTCTCTCCTCGCTCCTCACTCCTCACTCCTTGCTCCTCTCTCCTCTCTCCTCACTCCTCGCTCCTCGCTCCTCTCTCCTCTCTCCTCACTCCTCACTCCTCTCCTCACTCCTCGCTCCTCTCTCCTCACTCCTCACTCCTCTCTCCTCGCTCCTCACTCCTCACGCCTCGCTCCTCTCTCCTCTCTCCTCTCTCCTCACTCCTCACTCCTCGCTCCTCTCTCCTCTCTCCTCACTCCTCACTCCTCGCTCCTCTCTCCTCGCTCCTCACTCCTTGCTCCTGGCTCCTCTCTCCTCACTCCTCGCTCCTCTCTCCTCTCTCCTCTCTCCTCTCTCCTCACTCATCTCTCCTCTCTCCTCCTCCTCTCCTCGCTCCTCGCTCCTCACTCCTCTCTCCTCACTCCTCTCTCCTCTCTCCTCTCTCCTCTCTCCTTCTCTCCTCTCTCCTCACTCCTCTCTCCTCTCTCCTCACTCCTCGCTCCTCGCTCCTCGCTCCTCGCTCCTCGCTCCTCTCTCCTCACTCCTGGCTCCTCTCTCCTCACTCCTCACTCCTCTCTCCTCTCTCCTCCCTCCTCTCTCCTCACTCCTCTCTCCTCACTCCTCGCTCCTCTCTCCTCGCTCCTCTCTCCTCACTCCTCTCTCCTCACTCCTCTCTCCTCTCTCCTCTCTCCTCACTCCTCTCTCCTCTCTCCTCACTCCTCGCTCCTCTCTCCTCTCTCCTCACTCCTCGCTCCTCTCTCCTCACTCCTCACTCCTCTCTCCTCTCTCCTCCCTCCTCTCTCCTCACTCCTCTCTCCTCACTCCTCGCTCCTCTCTCCTCCCTCCTCGCTCCTGGCTCCTGGCTCCTCTCTCCTGGCTCCTGGCTCCTCGCTCCTGGCTCCTCTCTCCTCGCTCCTCTCTCCTCTCTCCTCTCTCCTCTCTCCTCTCTCCTCTCTCCTCTCTCCTCTCTCCTCACTCCTCTCTCCTCGCCCCTCGCTCCTCGCTCATCCATCTTTGTGATATGGGGCACTGGGTTTGATGTGGTCGTGTTGGACATCTTCCCCGTTCTCCTCCGAGCGTCGCTGACCCCTCCCTTCAGTTTCTGTGATATGGTTTTGGGGTTTTTGATGTGGTCATGCGCTGGAGGATTCTCACGCATGGTTTCCATAACGATAAAACGATTCCCGGTTTCTGAAAAGTTGCCCCTAAAGACGCAATGAGCCTGCAACTTCCACACGCATTTTTTTTTTCCCTCTCCGCGTTCCGTTGAATGTTTTTGATTTGTCTGAATTATTTTTCTTTGACGAGGTCTGTGGTTTAAACATTGTTGTGCTGTTTTCAAAGAGTTTTGTAAAGTTGATTAAAGCTGCATTGTACCAATACATCATTGTCAGACAAGTTGGGCATGTAATTCACCAGGCTTTGACATGCTTTTGTTGTTTATGGAATGATTACACATAGTTTACAGGGTGCACTCGCTCTGTTGTATCGGCCTCTTATCGCTCTCACGACTTCACACCGTTCTGCTGTATATTCATTACAGTTTCCTTTTGCATTTCTTTTCATTTAAATATTTGCAATGTCTATTTGACCGAACCAACAGAGACTACAAGAACAGCTTTTCACACTGCAAAAAGTTATGAAAATATGTCAACATTTGCTGAATTTTGGCAAAATGTATCTCAATTTCATCACATTTTGACTGCCTGAAAACAAGGGACAAAGCAAACATGATTTTGAAAAGATATAAGAAAAGTCTCCTTGGAATAAGAAAATACAGCAACAGTTCTTGAAATAAGACTCCGATGGGACAAAGCCTTTGGAGAATTGTGTTTTTAGTCTGAATTCACTCAAATAAAAATAAAAAATCTCTTGATTCAAGCTATTATTAACTCATACTTTATCCTTTTTTGCACGAACCAAACTAAACACATCACAACATTTATGATGGGGTGACAGTGGCTCATTTGGTAGAACATTGGTCTTTGAACTTAATGGTTGTGGGTTCAATTCGATCTCCCCCTTGTCATCTGCTCCCATTGATGTCTGCTGTTTGTTGTGCCCCTGGGCTAGACACTTAACCCCACTTTGCCTGAAGCCCCCGCTCAAAAACCAAGGCTGTGTCTTTGTTGACGGAGTAGACCCACCACCTGCAGGAGGATCAGTGAGGGCCTGGTGCTATGAGAATCCAACCCCCAACCCAGAAATAGACTGATAAAGGGGATGAAGATGAATGAATGAATGAATGAACATGTTTGGTGAGCGATAACTTATTAAAGAAGAATGTTAGAAGGAAAAGGGCTGCGTTGTGTGGTTTGTTGAGTGTCAGAGGGCGATAGAGAAACCATATAAAATGTCAGGGGTGAGATTGCTGCAGCAGGAGTTTGTAGCGGTACCGTCTGTGGTGCAGGGCGTCCTGGAGTCTGCGCCGGAGAGGGCTATGGTGAGATCTGACGGCAGGTGATGCTGGATATTTCTCTGGGATTCTAGCATAGTCAAAACTGGTCCATTTGAAGTCATTTGTTTTTGAAGCATTTTCAAAAGCTCTCACTTCATAATAGTGCCTTTTAACTTTTATTTTTCATTTGGTGAAACTCACAGCATGCATCAGCCCTATCTACAGTGGGTTGAATTGGACCAACACATTTTCACTGCTTAAAAAAACCAACATATATTTCATTTTTTTCTGAAACTAAAAGATTCATATGAAGGAGTTCTTTATTCGTCCCACAGTGGGGAAATTTCAGTGTTGCATCACAAGTTACAGAACAGTAGGAAAGAGGACATCCGACATACAATAGCCCTATACAATGATAAAATAAAACAAAAAAAGTAAAGTAAAGTAATTTAAAATCTGCATTTAAAATAGCATAAAAATCTGTATTAAATCTGGTAGACTAATAGAAAATCAAATGGATAGTCAACATATTTACCTCTATCAATAGTGTGTCATTTAGCCAATAAATATAGATTTAGGTAAAAAGAAAGTGAGGCGAGTAAAGAACGTGACAAGTATTATGTCTTAAAGGTCTGTTTTCTTACACACAGTTGTCCTACATGCACCTGCTAAATACTACAAAGTATCTGTAATTGCTAAGCCTTGATTGTAAATATTTAGAGCAATCTCGTGTGTTTTCTACATAGCAGTCAATCAAGAATGACTAAAATTTGGGACAACATTATTATTATTATTATTTCTTCTGCTGTACATTACATACTTGTCAGATAAGAAAACGGGAACCTCAAACTTTCTATACAGAAACATGAATAGTTTGTGTTTGTCTTTCAGAAATGGTGAGGAAGAAGAATCCCCCTATCAGGAGTGTGGGAGGAGAGGAGGAAGAGGAGGAGGAGGGGAAGAGAAAAGCGACTGGAGATGAGGAGGAAGAGGGAGACGACGAGGGCCGGGTGGGAGCAGAGGCTGACCGCATTTCCCACAATCCATCGGAACCGGAATCCAGGACCAACGACGAGGACGAGGACCGGGACAGCGAGTGCGTGTCTTCCTCCGTGTCGCCGTCGTCCGTGGGTTACGACGAGCGGCGATCCACGGGCGCCAGATCCAAAGCCAGATCCGCGGACCGGGGTGAGACAGACGCCCGGCAGGAGGTAGCAGGAGTCCTGGTGGGGGAGGAGGTGATGAGAGACACGCCCCCTCTGTCCGGCAGTCCTTCCCCCAAACTCCAGGACTTCAAATGCAACGTGTGTGGCTACGGTTACTATGGGAACGACCCTGCCGACCTGGTGAAGCACTTCAGGAAGTACCACCTGGGTCTGCACAACCGCACCAGACAGGACGCGGCTTTGGACTCGCACATCCTCGCCCTGCACAACATGGCGCCCCACACGCTACAAGGTAAACACAACGCACAAACGCACACTAGTATGATTGTGTGGATGAAGCAGTTTAGCGGCTGAACATGTGACCGCGGAAGATCAAAACAAGATGTATTCAAATATGTTTAGAAAGAAGGAGGAGGGTGTGAGGACAGTGGGGATGGTACGGGACATTTAACTACATCTATGGACATCTGTTAACTCATTGACTACCAGCCGTTTTTGATGATTTCACTGATTCTCAAGACCCACAGAATATTATTTCCGAAGACTATGTGAAATGTGAAACCAGATTCTGAAAGACTGGATTGTCGACATTGATCAGCAAAAATAAGTTTGTTTTAAGCTATTTTTATTGTCCTGTAACCCCCAGTCGAATAGAGGGTCTCAGACAAATACGTCAATTCCAGATTTAAGATTCATTTATTAGGTCCCGTAGGAATTTTGTCTTGGACTCACAGGCTGCTACATCGAAAATACACACAACACAGTAACGCAGACAAAAACCAAGATTTTAACATTTATGTATATTAGTCGTTCGCCCCTTATGGACCGATAGCTCTATGTGTTTGTTATTATTGCATATCCTGTGTTTTAACTGTTTGATTCTCTGATCTGTGTTGGCGAATCGACAACTTTGTAAAGTCCCCCAAGACTTCTGTTATTTTTATAGGGCTATGCTAGAGCTATACTGTGTAAAGCGTTTTGGGTGACTGACCTTGGTCTGTAAAATGCGCTATATAAATAAGCATTACTTACTTACTATACAAGAATGCATTGAATTGAATTGAAGTAAATTATGCATTATATTTGACCTTTAAAGCTGGGGTACCTAACTTACAAACTGATAAACAATTTTACGGCATAGTGAAATCCATCTAACTTCTTTTCTCCTAAAGCCTTTTGGTTCTATTTCTATTTTTTGGGTTTTTCCGACAGAAAAGTGATAAAAACAGGACCACCCTCGGCTCTCAGGCCAAAGCCTTAAAAAGTGACTCACAAGGATCTTTTTTATACAAACAGAAATGACCTTTGTTCTCTGATTTTTTCACAACATTTTTTGAAGAATCTTTCAGTTGTGGACAAACAAACTAAATACTAAATAATGTATTTTGAAGAGAAAAGGAAACATGATAATAAGATAATTATATATAATTCATGTAGAAAATGTATGGATAAAATAAGTTTGGATGAAGATAAGAAATAAAGTAAAACCTAAATTGTTATGAAAGTTACTTTTAATAATACGTTTGTGAAGATTCAAATGCATACTTTGAGTTTGTTTTTACAATCTCTGCAACAATTACATACATTATCACTTTTTTGAGAACAAATATAAATTCACAAATAAACATTTAGGTTTAGGGTAAAATTAAATTATTTTCTCGTCTTGTCTCATGGATCTAATCTTGTCCACCTTTACAAGATAAGATAAAACTTTTTTGACCTCACAATGGAGACATTTTGTGAGACATTAGACATTCAACGACATAACATGTTTAATGTTGCTTCTAAATGCTTCTAACTGAACTCAGACTGTTTGAATCGTCTTATTCAGTGTTCACACAGGAGTACAAATTACCATGTCTAAAAAAAATAACCTGTGTTCCTTAAGCCTTCGTCAAGTTTACCTCAAAAGTTTTTCTCTGATCAAACCTCTTCATCCTGGTGTTCCCAGACATCCAGGGAGGACCGGGGCAGAAGAACCAAGCCAAAGATTTAGGGAAGATCCGACAAGAGCTCCTCCACCAGCAGCACAGGACGGTGTTGTTGAACGGCACTTACGACGTCCAGGTAAGTTTCACAAGACTTCCACCTCTGGAGTTACCACACGGTTGAAAAGTACGTCAGTGAGTTCAGTGGTTCCCAAAGAAAGGGCCGCGGCACAGGAGCTGGGGGACGTAAAATGATTTCCAGGTTTTTTTTAGTTTTTCTTACAGTTTCTACATAATATTTTTTACAATGCTTTTGGTGCAAGCATTGTTTTAAGTGATTCAAATGGCACAATACGTGTTTTGACGCTTCAAATGATGACTATATTATTTGCTATGATGTGAGCAGACCCCAGGGAAGACCCAGGACACGTTGGAGCGACCCACACTCGCCTCTCTGGTTTCGAATCCCGGATGGAACGGGGTCTTTCTGAGTGGAGTTTGCATGTTCTCCCCGTGCTTGCGTAGGTTTCCTCCAGGTACTCCGGTTTCCCCTACCACTAAAACTCACTAAGTTAAATCCTCCAGCTCTGGTAGTCCTGACCAAGCCGAGCATCAACATCTGGAGATGGGTTCCCGGGCGACCACTGCTCCTGACGTAAGCCTTAGCGGCATCAGGATGGGTCAAATGCAGAGGATGAATTGCCCCTACAGGGATCAATAAAGTGCACCTTTAATATATTATATGTTTATTTGATTAGAACAGAACAAGAAGCATTGTTACAAATAACCAATGCCACGTTCATAGGCCATATAGCCACATATAGCCACATAGCACATAGCATAACAGCTAATTCACATACAATATATTACATCCATCCACGCCTCCATCCATCCATTTTCTTCCTCTTTATCCGTTGCCTGGTCGCGGGGGCAGCAGTCTGAGCAGACACTCCCAGTCTTTGCTCTCCATACACACTTCCTCCAGCTCATCTGGGGGAATCCCGAGGTGTAACCAGGCCAGCTGAGAGGCACAGTCCCTCTAACAGGCACTTCCCTGGGGCTTGCTCGCGTCATAGCATGTAATATAGACATCATTTGAAGCGTCAAAACATGTATTGTGCCATTTGAATCACTTAAGACAATGCTTGCATCAAAAGGATTGTAAAAAATATTGTGTAGAAATTTAAGAAAATAACAAAAAAAATCCCGGAAATTATCGCTCGAACCTTCTTTGGGAACCACTGAACTCACTGACGTACTTTTCAACTCTCTCATCATAATGCAGGTAACAAAACAAGGAAAGAACATATATTTGAACCCCTACTTGTAAAATATCTTTCCATAAATGACATAAATGATAATAATGTACAGTGGCATAAGCTGGTAATTAAAAAATAAATACATGGATGATTCAGATTAAGAAAGCAGATAACTCGGTGTGTGTAATGAAAAGGGCTGTTTGCTTTTACCACCGACACTGAGCTATTGCAGCAATAAAAAAAACTAATAAGACATTTGATGAACCGTTCCACAGCGCGGTGCATCTTGTCGATCGACTTACACGAAAAGGAAGGCGTTTAGAGGTTTGTTTACAGTAACCATAAAGACTTTTTGTTAATGGCCAAGTCTTTTCCTTCTTCCCCTCTCGACGATAAAGCTGAGTCCCTGAGTGGCTGTCAAACTTGTGTTGGTTTTTTATTGCCACTCTGAAAGGACTTCCACAAAACTGTCTTTGAGAACAAGCAGGTATTTGGCAAGTAAACGCAAAAGAACAACACCTGTCTATGTTCTTGCCATAAATAAAAGAAAGGAAATGAGGCCAAAATACAAACTAGAATGAGAAAAGTTGACATTTTAAGCAAGGCGTGTGACAAAAAATATATATACAGAGTTTTGGAGATGGAGATTTGTATAGTACAGCCATTCCCAAAGTCAGTAACAGCCCCTTAAAAATCCGACGGCTCCACAAAATATTAACCAAGAAGACAACGTTAAAAATAGGCTCTTTTATTTGGGAGAATCAGCCTCTGCTACAAACATATAAATGACGCACCCCATTTTGTAATACAAAAATGATCACAATTTGATTTTTCAAGTCAAATAAGGAACACAAATATTTTAATTTTATTTGAAATATTATTAATTTAATCTGTGAATGTCAAATGTTTTCTTATTTTCTGCTGATGGCCGAAGAATAAATAAAATAAAATAATTTAACATACAATAATTATACACAACTTATTATTATTTTTTTATGACCTCTCGCGGCCCCCCCGCAATACCCAGGGGGCCGTGGACCGCACTTTGGGAGACACTGCTATAGTACTTTTTGAGAAACAAGTCACAAGGAAATTCCAACTGTAAGATAGATAGAAAGTATATGTTCCTTATTGTTCCTAGTTTATTCTTTAAATGTGTAAGGCACAAGCTAATGTAAATGTATACTTCTTGTAGCTAAAATTATGGTTGATTCAAAATAGAAAAAAACACAATATTTAAGCAAGAACCAAGCACTTGTTGTTAACTTGTTTCTCCCTCTCCTTCAAAATGTACTAAAGCAAAAGCGAGCTCAGCACTATGTTTACAAGAGGTGTCTGTATATTTGTTTATTGGTGGGTATTTAAGATGGTATAGATATAAGGTAATGTGAAACCTAGGTGTGTCATGTGGAGCGGAGTTTTGCTGAGCTTTCAAAAGCACAGCCCAAGATTCAGGAAATCTGAAAAAAGCAGAGAGTCAGTGCTGGTACGGTCCGAGTCATATCCAGTAAACGCTGCAGATACACACAGACACGCACACACACACACACACACACACACACACACACACACACGCACACACGCACAGTCAGAAATAGAAAATCCAGTGGGCTTAAATCGTCATTACGTTGAAAAACTGAAAGTGCGTGTAAAAAAAAAAAAAAGGAATGAAAGAGCCCTCTATTCTCTCGCCTTCCCTGTCTCCCGCCCACGTTTGGAAAATTCCATGTTGTCATTTGCTGAAACGGTGTCCCGCTCCGGCCAATCGGGTGGCGGGGAAAAAAAAGTGAGCGAGGAGCAGCGTCGTCGCAGATGGAGAGAAATGAAAAGGAGAGACATAGAAAAGACTTGTGAACAGTGGTTGTAAAGGGCAGCTCCAGCAGTTTGATAAAACAGCTGTCAGACGCATGAATGTGCTTTTGTCTTCACAATCTCTCTCTCTTTCTCTCTTCCCCTTTAAAACCAGACCAATCTCCTTCCCCATTTATTGAACAAATTAATTCATAATACCTACATTTCAATTTGATCATATCATATCAGACGAAGTGCTTTGTGTGACCTCAGTCTGTGAAAAAGCGGTACATACAGTATATAAAGATAACTTACCTACGTACATGATCATAGTCAAGGTCAAGTTTATTTGTAGAGCACATTTACAACAAGCTTCAATATACAACTCAGAAATGTAGCTTACTTTCTTATACTGTATCGTAAGTAGTAAGTAAGTCATGTTTATTTATATAGCCCATTTTACAGACAAAGGTCACCCAAAGTGCTTTACAATGTTCAGAGTTCAGATTTTGTTCCAATCATTCCACACACGGTGATGACGAGTCGCCAAACACACTGGACCATCAGCTCCCAACCAACACCATCCATTCACTCTCGCATTTACATTCATACCTATTGTGCATGTTTTTAGTGGTAGGGGAAACTGGAGCACCTGGAGGAAACCTACGGGGAGACCATGCAAACTCGACTAAGAAATCGGGTTCGAACCCAGGACGTTCTTGCTGAGAGGCGAGAGTGCTATCCATTCAGCCACCGTGCCGTATTGTTGTGCATACAGTAGTTTCAATGCAAATATTTATTGTATAATTTTTCTCAAGCAATATTTTTTCCATCCAAACGTGTTATCGAGAGCTTGAGGTTTTACAAATAAATCCTCTTTTTGTTTTAAATTGATAACATAATCCCGTGTGTTGTTCTTTGTAGATTTGTGAGATAGTGAAAGCCTAAGTAATGGGTAAATCTGAAGAGAAGTTGTGTGTAAAAAAAGATATATGGAAATATTAGAATAACACAGACAGTCATAAATGCCACAGGTGAGAAATGCAGTCATAAAAATCACTGCAAGATCATAAAAATAACAGTCCATGATTAACGGCTGCAGAGGTGCACTGTGGGATACATTTATTTCACCATTGAACCAGTATGGAAGTAATAGATCTACTTACTCAACACAGGCAGAAAGGGTACACATACATACAGAAATATTACGGTGTCGTGTAAAACAATTGAGCCATTCGTCACGCAGGAAGAACAACGTCAAAAGAGTGAAAGAGTGCGGTGTCGAGTCGCACGTGGGGGAAAAAAAACAAGACGTTTCCTTCTCTCCGAGGCTTTACGGACACTTTTGTTATTTGTTCTGTTTTGTTTCTACCGTGAATTAAAAAGGTCAGATCTGTTGAATGCATCACTTTTAATAAGCGCTTAAAATAGTCGACCTGCTGTGATAATTGGAGAGATTTAGTTTGAGCCCAAAGAAAGCCAAATGACAGTAATTGTTGCGCTAATTGTCAAAAGTGACGTATACTTTTCCTGCCTGAAGTTGCTCAAACAAACTGGACGCTCGTCGCCATGGAATGTCCCACCATTCCACCTGGCATAGCACATATTTATCTATATATATCTTGCATCGGTTCAACTTCAGGTGTTTATAAAGAGTTCTCTGCAAAAACATGTGGATTCACGTCTCCACACGTTGACGCAGCTGAAAAAAGTTAAGATAAGATATTTATTGATTTTTATATTTATTGATCTCACACAGGAGAAATGGACGTTTCACATCTGGCATGGATAGAATCACTCAAGATTTTTGTAAAGAAAGATGTAGGCAAACATGTTAAAAACACAAGGCAACTTTAAATTTAATTCAGATTCAAATAACTTTATCTGTGGGGAACTTCATTTGCAGACGGAGCACCGGTGGGGATACATAAAAACACAGAAAATTGCAGAAAAGCAGTATAAAATACATAAAACGGATCATAATCAGCTTCAGCCCAAACAGATCGTCTCTCAATTAGCTGCTTAAAAGTCAGACTGAGGTGGGGACGAATCTGGATGTGGCCCTTTTTCGAATGAACGTGACAAATACGTAAAAAAGAATACGGCCCCTACTCAAGACGCTCCTCTGCCTGTCGCCCCCACAGCACCATCAACCGAAACTAAAGCTGGGGTACCTAACTTTCAAACCAGCAAAAGCCATATAATACAATCCATGTATCTCTAGTTACTGGCTCTAAAAAAAGTTGAATTCTGTAACTAGTTTTCACGAGCATGTGTTTGCGTTCAGCCAATCAGCTCTTAAGTCCAAGGCATCAAATAGTGACTCAAAGGGCTAAGTGTGCAAGTTGTCAAATAAGATAAAAATAGAAAGCCATGGTCATATTTGTTCTCAACATTGGAGTTTGTCTGTAAATTGGGACAAAAAAACGTATTTATTTAAAACAGATTAGCCCAGATTTAAAATGCGTTTTTTTGGAGTCTGGAGGCTACACAGGCGCGTCAAATCAATCAATTTATCATGAACTCATTTTTCTTTCTGCCCTCCAACAGGTGACGCTCAGTGGCACGCTGATCGGGATTGGCCGGAAGACGTCCGATTGCCAGGGCAACACAAAGTACTTTCGCTGCAAGTTCTGCAACTTCACATACATGGGCAGCAACTCTATTGAACTGGAACAGCACTTCCTCTCCTCGCATCCAAATAAGGTCAAAACCCCGCCCACAACCCCCTTATCGCCGAATAACAACACGGCAGCTCACGGCGGAGTGGCGAAGGGGCGGGGCCAGATCATGGAGGGGGCGGAGCGAGTGGCTGTGAGATCAGATGATGATTCGTTAGTGGGATACTCGGTCCCGGTGACGGCGTGCGGCGACTCTCCGGGCCGGGGCGGAGGTGGGCCAGCCTATTATTGGTGTAAGTTTTGCAGCTGGAGTTGTGAGTGGGCGGGCGGCTCGGGAAAGCTGTTGGAGCATTATGAGCAAAGACACAAGAACTGTAGCCCCGCTGGGACGGAGCGAGAGAGGAGGAGGGAAGCAGAACATGTGGCATCCAAAACTCGCAAAGACGGGTCATCTAATCCAACCAGCACCAGCCAAGGTAATGAAACCCAAGAACCGATGGGAAAATGTTATGGCTCCTGATGTTGGACTCATTAAAGATCAATGAGGCGCTGCTTAACCAAAAAATGACTTCAGTTGAAGTGATATGCAGTTATGACAAACGACACCGAGGCCAACGTTGGTCCAGACAGAATGACTGCGTCGTCTACTACTTCATTCACAACCATTTTTCAGCACGAGCTTTGCATTCATTCAGTTAATTTGACCTAACAAAGAAAAGGCCTGGACTGCGCTTTACAAACCAGCTGTGTATCAAAGCCAAATCATCCCCCATTATCCGATTATTTGATTCAAAATAAATACAAACATTCCTGTCCCATTTTAGTCCAGCCTTTTAAATCCTCATTTTTTAAAGATGATATGCAGGGCTTTATTTTAAGATGTTTTCATTAGTCTAGCAAAGCTTTTCTTGTATGTATTTCTGATATTACTCCTATATTGACTTTTATTAAACCAGGCAGAATCTTTTTTTTTGTGGAGTCTTGGCCCCAGAGAGACAGGAAGAAGTGGAGTCGGCGAGGGTGTTATGGGGGACTATTGTACATGTTCTTAGAGGTATGAGAAACCTACTCAGACAGGGGGAGAACGTGCAAACCCCAAACAGACTGGCCTGGAGGTGGAGTCCAACCCAGGACCTTCTCGCTGTGAATTTCAAGCGCTAACCACTGCACCCAATGGCTTATCTGTCTATCTCTTAAAAAGTTTCAGGGATCCACTTTTTCACATTTCTGAACCAACTCTGGCTCCTAAAGTGTTCAAAGTTTGGTATTTCTTTGGTTTATTCAGTCATCTGTACACTCTTGTTCCCGGCAGACCCAAACAGCAGTGACCCTGACGCCGTGGTAACCAGCTACAACTGTCAGCTGTGCGACTTCCGGTACTCGATGGCCCACAGCGCGGACGTGATCGTGGTCGCCCCTTTACTGCTCCACTACCAGCACAACCACTCCATCCACCGCTGCTGCATCCAACACTGCATGTACTGTCCACAGGGCCTGTGTCAGCCGCAAAAACACATCGGGGAGGTGAGATTAGTGGACCATAAATACATTGTGGAAACGTACTGTGGCCTGGTAATTAGAAGGAAGAAAAATAATAGCTTTTCTATCAAGGGGAAATAGAAAATGTTACGAACAAGTGCAAAGTTAATCACTCAAATTTTCAGTTTAGTTTAAAGTCCCTTGCCTCCTCACATACTGTACACCCACGGACGTCCCTCTCGCCTCTGTGACAGCTGCCAAACGTAATGACTGAAGCTGTTTAAAATTCACAAAGGAAAGTTAACAGGGAGAGCTAACCGTGGCAGCGTTCAGCTAATGATGCACATCCACGTTGTAAATGTCTGCGACTGCTTTGCATCAAAGCAGTCGCAGACATTTACACCTAATAGAACCTGCTTTTATACATTTATTCAATCTGCACAAAAGGTAGAAATGCAGTAGAATAACTTCAAACCTGGCAGAAACGGCCCGAGAGACAAGGTCATATAAAACACCATCGCCTTATCTGATAACTCATTTTAAAATGTTATCAATTTTATAACGACTTGTTCCAATTGTACCCAAATTCTTTTACGACTTACTGTGTATGACAGATGTCCTGCTTCTTGCCATAGATATGTTATGGCTCTACTTGCTCAATTTGGCTTTGTACATTCCTCAATTATGGATAATTTTAGTGAGAAGACTCGCCCCTCCATAGATGTAGCTTAGCCCAGTGAAGTTATATGTTCGTTTCCAATGTAACAGTAAAGTTTATTGACTGAAAATATATACAACTTTTCTGGATCATTTCCACTGTTACGGAAGGGAAAACCACTTAGCTTCACAACCACCATTGAAAGTGATGTCTGATGTAGCTAGCTATAGACTGTGCGTTAGGCTAATAAGGAAATAGTGGTTGTCGAGAAAGTTAGTTTTCCTCTGCGAAAAGGTGTATATCCAGGCAGAACAACATTTCATTGAGCTAAAGCAAAAAGCGGGCCCACCAGCAGATTTAGGGAACACGACTTTCATCATGTTTTTTTTTTTGCCCGAATCTGAAGCATGCAAATGACCCACTCACTCCACATAAAAATGACATGTTATTTCTTCCATTAGGTGTCCCATCCTTTTGCTTGCCGGAAGCCCACCTGCTCTAAATGCTGCTCTAAGTTCCCCCAGTCCGACAACCCCCAGGACACTGCCACTTCACCGAGCCTGACCCCTCCTAACCCTCGCAGCGACCCCACTAACACAGCACATCCCATGGTCACGCAAGGTACTACAGAGTCCGACACATGGCCATTACTCCAAACGACATTTGCCATAACATCAGATTTCTTTGTGTGCCTCCAGGTGTGACCCACTTGTGTGACCAGTGCGCGTTCGCCACGGCCGACATTGACGTGCTGCTGCAACACTACGAGAGCTGCCATACGGTCACCAGCCTGAAGGGGGCGTCACCTCACGTCAAAGCAGAGGAGGAGGTGGGGGGGGCAGAGAAGGCGGGAGGCAGCGCGGCAGAGAGGGAGTTCTCCTGCACAAAATGTCACTTCATCACAGAGGTGGAGGAGGAGATCTTCAGACACTACAGGTGAGAAGTCGGGGAAGTCGGAGTGCGGTTTATCTGTATAGCACTATTAATGCCCAAGGCAAGTCAAGGTGCTGATTAGTGTTAGTGTTGTCACGATGCTAATATTCCAAACTCTATCGCTGCAAAATGTGATGAAAGATGAATAAAAAATAGCTCAAATTTGGCTGTTGATTTGAGCACATTTTGACTGCCTTAAAACATGATTTGCAAATGGGACAAAGCAAATGTATTGTGTTTTAAAATGATACAAGAAATGTCTCCCTTGGAATGAGAAAATGAATGGCTTTATCTCATTGGCAAATCTTGTTTTAAGACAGAATGTGCTAAAATTAAGATGAAAAAAACCACCCGATTTAAGCAATTCTTACTTAATTTTTTTTTGTTTTTTGCAGTGATTCCAATGAAAATAGATTAGGCCTTTCACTGTAGTTACTATATTGATGGATTGATTGGACCGGGGTGAAATCTACAAGTAATTGCTCAGGGTCAGGGGTCAAGATGTTTACAATTATTTGTTCCCAATAATTAGTCCCATATGAACCAGCCCGGACTCTGAGGAGCACAGGGACTGGACTCCTGTTAGTGCCCAGAGTCAGAACTAAACATGGGGAGGCTGCTTTTCAGATTCATGCTGCTAAAATCTGGAACAGTCTTCCTGGAGATGTGAGACAGGCCTCCTCTCTGACAATGTTTAAAGCCAGGTTAAAGACAGTTCTGTTTAGCTGTGCATACAACTGAGGGATTTTATATTTGTATCTTTCTTTTTAATGTTCTGTGATTATTTATGATTTTAATGCTTTCTTGTTTTGTTCAGCACTTTGAATTGCCTTGTGTATGAATTGTGCTATATAAATAAACTTGCCTTGCCTTGCCTTGCCTTGCCTTGCCTTGTTTACATTATGATTTTTTACAACACAAGTTTGTGATTTTTTTTTTTTTTTTTTTTTTTTTGAGCACACGTAGTTATTGTGACAGGCCGAGAATAGACTTGATGATTAGGTAACTCTATAGGCCCTTTTTTCAATAAATATAGTTCTTTTTATGGTGCCACATTTTTTCGTCTTAGTTGATACAAGAAATGCTCAGGAAATGTCAAATTTTGTTTTCTTTGTGTAATTGTTTTTAGTCTCAATACTCACTTAAGAATCTATTTTAATTCTGGTTTGACTATCAATTAGCATTCTCTTTTGACAACCCTTTTTGTTATAAGCTTTGAAACTATTTTCTTTCTGACACTGATATATTAATTATACATAATTAGACAGCGAGAGTAGCTCAGTTGGTAGAGCACTGGCCTTTGGGCCTGAAGGTCGTGGGTTCGAGCCCACCATAAGACCTACTTAACGACTCTCACTGATGACTGCTGTCGTTGTGTCCTTGGGCAAGACACTTAACCCCACTTTGCCTGAAGCCCCCGCTGAAAGATCTCAGCTCCTGTGGACTCAGCACCTGCAGGAGGATCAGTGAGGGGCTGGTGCTCTGTGACTGGGTGTAGCTCTGACTGCCACCCCCCCGACCCAGAAATGGATTAAGGGGAAGAAAATGGATGGATGGATGGATAATTAGACAGCAGGATAATCTCAATAAACCATACAAAAAGCTTTTATAACACACTCCAATCGACCAAAAAAAAAAAGACAAACCTCAAAAAGAAGTATTGTCCAACAAATCAATGAGAAAATCCTTCATTACCAAACAGAAACATCTCATTATTGTTAAACTCTGAGCAAAGTGGAAAGTTGGGCTCGAAAACACAGAACACAATTGAAACATTGATTCAAATGGTCTCAGATTTATACAATATTGATCTGCTTTGCAATATGAGAGAGAAAATGAGAGAAGCTGTTGTCTGAAAAATGTCAGCTTTGAATCAATCAGAACTTTAATGTTGTTTTCAAGAAGATGAGAATGGAACCAAACCAGAAAACACGATTTTACAGTCCTCTCACACGTCCTTCAGAAACACAAGCAAGTACCAGAACGCAAGATTTTCACCGTATCAAGCAAACAATAACATACCTGCATATTTAGCTATATTTATTGGTATGTAAGTAAGTCATATTTATCTATATAGCACATTTTTACAGACCAAGGTCACCCAAAGTGCAATCCACTCCACCACCGTGTCGCTTTCTCTCGCTTCTCAGCAAGAAGGCCCGGACTTTGAATCCCGGTCAAACAGGGCCTTTCTGGGTGGAGTTTGCATGTTCTCCCGTGCCTGTGTAGGTTCCCTCCAGGTGCTCCGGTTTCCCCAACCACTAAAAACATGTACAATAGGTCTCTGAATGTAATGAGGGAGTGAATGGATGGTGTTGGTTTGGGGTTTGATGCTCTAGTCTGTTTGGCGACTCGCTTCTGTCATCACCGTGTGTGGAGAGAATGAAACCATATCTGAACTCTGAGCATTGTAAAGTGCTTTGGGTGACCTTGGTCTATAAAAATGTGTTATATAAATAAAGATTACCTACAATGTTCAGAGTACAGATATGTTTCCAGTCTCTCCACACACGCTGATGACGCCTCCAACCAACACCATCCATTCACTCACTCATTACATTACCTTTATGGGAAACCGGAGCACCAGGAGGAAACCTAGGCAGACACAGGGAGAACATGTAAACTGCACTCAGAAAAGCCCTGTTCCGTTCGCGAATCGAACCCAGGCCCCGGGATTTTCTTTATTAGCTCTATTAATTAGCTTTAGTAACTGTCCACATTTTTCTGAGGCACAGATTGGCACACGTCCCCCTGCCCCTTTGGCTTGAATGAACTTTTCTTAAACACGGTACGCTTTGGCAAATTATTTGACTATGACGACAGGGAATAAGCCATTTTCCCCCTTTAAAAACAAAAGCATTATCTGAAAAAGTACGTTTGGGAATTTCTCCAATCCAAACCAACTGCACAACTGCGTGCCTTCAGTTACATTGTCTCGTGTTGTATGTTTACGAAAATAGTAGACATTTTACCACTCAAGATAATTTATTTTGCCACATAGTTTGCTAATCCATATTTCATAAAATAACGTAATGGTTTTTTCAGGAAACAAGTTAAGAAATCCTTTATTCGTGCCACAGTGGGGAAATGTCAATGTTGCAGCGCACATACAGGACAGTAGTAAGAGCACACAGGGAGCACACACAATATACAAAATAACTAACTGCTATGTTTCTTAGCTAGCTGTAAATGCTTCAATAATATACATATTTACCATAGACAATTAGCTAGTTTGTTTACCATGTGTACAGTGTAATTAGGTTGAGGATAACTATTGCATGTGTATTTTTATTTTTACACCATGTCCATGATTAAGCTGTAACATGTCTCTGTTATGTACAGTCCTTACACGAAGTGATTAACATGATTTTACTGGCCTGCTTTAATAAGGAGCGCCCACTCTGCCCCCGAGACGAAGCCAGATTAGATGAGATGAAATGAGAGGTGATAAGTCCAGATATGAGCTGATCAGATCCGATGGAATAAGACCTATAGATCTCAGATAATCCCTGAAATCCAAATGGCAATTGTTAGAAGAGGATTTGGCTTTATTACGCTGCACAGTAGAGACGGGTTTCAATGGTAATAAAATCCGATACAAGAGAGAGAGATACTTATTTGCAATGTTTAAAGGGCACATAGTATGGATACAGTTTTTTCAGTTTTTTTCCCCATGACACATTATTTACAAAGCTGGAGCCAGTATCAGGAACGTCTGTCTCAAACCAACGCTAACAGGTCTCTCCGCTCCTTTGTCAATTTTTTTTTGACAGATTCTAACTAATAATATGTCATGCACCCGACAGTTTTTTATGTTTTAAAACAAAATGATTGCCGACAAATCAGTGAGCAATAAGACCTATTTTTGTCATCTTATGTTCTTTGCTGCATGTCTTCAATTAGACCACGCCATCTTGGATTTAAATGTAAATATTGCTGAATTTCAATCTCTTGTCACTAGATGGCAGTAGCAGGCATGTTTATTCATTTACTTTCTTCTTCAAGCAACTTTATACAAGTTTTTTATGTGGGAAAACAAGTATATATATATTTTTTGGCTGTAAGACGTGTCAGCATTGTACCTTTAATAATAAATGATTATAATAAATTAAATACACTTTTTGAATTTTGTGTATATATATATATATATATATATATATATATATATATATATATATATATATATATATATATGTATGTATAAATATTTCTTCTTTTTTATTGTATTGCACAATTAATAATTCAAAATAAATACTACTACTACTACTAAATGTTACACAATAAATTTCACAATCTGCAATATCTAATACAAATAAACAAAATTAAAACACAATGCATAATGTTTGCTCTTTTAAGATGAAGAAAACCCTTTCTGATGAACACCAGTGGATTTCCATATGACCCTTTGCACATGGTGTCTCCCGCATGATAAGATAAAGAAAAAATAAAGATCATTGGTTTTATAAAGCACTTTTCTGGACACTCAAAGACGCTTCACATGTGTCATTATTCTTTCACTCCAAACACGGTGGTGATAAACTACTGTAGCCACAGCTGCCCTGGGGCACACTGGCAGAAGCGAGGCAACCAGTCTGTGCCATCGGCCCCTCCGACCACCACCAACCATTCACACACACACCAGACTCATTCTAGGCTATGGGGGTGAAGTGTCTTGCCTAAGGACACAACAGCCGTTTAGCACTTAACAGCCGCAGCCGCCCCACTGTGGCATCAGGTGTTCCCAGAGGTTAAGCGTCTTGCCAAGGACACAACAACAGCAGACATCAGTGGGAGTCGGTGGAGAAAATATACTCAATATTCTTCCATATTTACATTTAACAATGACTTTTTCTCCGTTGCCTCGAGGATTTTCTGTCTGACAAGGAAATTACTGCCAGAAAAAGACACGCAATTTATAAATAGACAGCTTTGAATAACAAGAAACTGAAAAAGTCATTGTTGAAATTTGTTTTGTCATTTCCTAACCGAACTGACAAACATGATCCCTCATAAATGGCCACTTGTGTGAATATTATTTTGTTAATTTATGGTCTTCCGATGCATTTGGTGTCATTTATGTACCCGGGGCACATAAAAGACACAAACGCAATCCTAATACAGCAGCAGCACATTCTTCATTTAGAGAATAAAACAACTTATTAGATCATTTTGAGAATAATGTACAATTACAGTGACCAAAAGGAGGGATTTAATATCTATAATGTCCCAAATTACTTTAAAATACTGTGTCTACAAACTGGAGGCAATATCCAAGAGCTTTATAGAATTCTGTGGCCTCTGAAAAAGTAATAACTTTAGCAACTGGAATGTCTTACTAAAGATGAGTAATTTCTTGCCTTTGAGTATGTTATAGACTCTCCACATTTTTGTCCTGATTCTATGTCAGAGCATGAGTCACAGCTTGGCATCGAGTACTTGAACTGTTCGAACAAAACCTTTCACCCTACGAGAGAAAAACGCCTTTATAGTTTTCTTATACAGCAAAACCAATTACAGCAGAATCTTACCTTGAGGACAGGAAGTACTTTGTGGAGATTGGAAACTGTGTCTCAGATCATATGGCCCTGACCTGTGGAGTCCCACAGGGGTCGATCCTGGGACCTCTTCTGTTCAATCTCTACATGCTGCCGTTAGGTCAGTTAATACGCAGAAACAAAGTGTCCTATCACAACTATGCAGACGACACTCAGATCTATGTCTCACTGACTGCAGGAGAACATGGACCAGTGGACTCACTCCTTCACTGTATCCAACAGATCAGTGAGTGGATGCAAAACAACTTCCTTCAGCTAAACGCAGACAAAACTGAAATGATTGTCTTTGGTCCCCAGAAACAAAGAGAGAGCGTCATCTGTCACCTCCAGTCTCTCTCCCTAAAACCTTCAAACAAGGTCAGAAATCTAGGGGTAATACTGGACTCAGACTTAAATTTTAATAGCCACATCAAATCAGTAACATCAGCAGCTTTTTACCATCTAAAAAACATTGCCAGGATCAAAAACATAGTGTCTAAAGCAGACCTGGAGATTCTTATCCATGCATTTGTCTCCAGTAGGTTAGACTACTGCAATGGCCTGCTCACAGGTCTGTCCAAACAGGCTGTAAAACAGCTGCAGTACATTCAAAATGCAGCAGCTCGAGTCCTGACAAGAACCAGGAAGTACGACCACATTAGTCCTGACTAGAACCAGGAAGTACGACCATATTAGTCCGGTCCTCAGGTCCCTGCACTGGCTTCCTGTGGCTCAGAGAATAGACTTTAAAACAGCTCTGCTTGTGTACAAGTCTCTCCATGGCCTCGCACCAAAATATATTAGTGACATGTTAGTCCCATATGAACCAGCCCGGACTCTGAGGAGCACAGGGACTGGACTCCTGTTAGTGCCCAGAGTCAGAACTAAACATGGGGAGGCTGCATTTCAGATTCATGCTGCTAAAATCTGGAACAATCTTCCTGAAGATGTGAGACAGGCCTCCTCAATGACAATGTTTAAAACCAGGTTAAAAACAGTTCTGTTTAACTGTGCATACAACTGAGGGATTTTATGATTTTATCTTTCTTTTTAATATTCTGTGATTATTTATGATTTTAATGCTTTCTTGTTTTGTTCAGCACTTTGAGTTGCCTTGTGTATGAATTGTGCTATACAAATAAACTTGCCTTGCCTTGCCTTACTATTGAGTAGATATGGTTCAGGTTATCGTGCATTTCATAGCATTTCTAATTCTGCATATTAAAACATTTGTACTCAATCAGAATTATCATGTATTATATTGCTATTGTAAAAAAAAAAGTAGGATTTTGCTTTGGCTCATAGTGTCAAGTAATTCAACTAAAAATAGCTATAAACAAATGCATAAAAAGTCTTAAATGTCCAAACATAGAGAACTAATAATAATAATGTAAGCTAAAACGATCGTGTTTGGAGCCACGGCAACATAGAGCTGTTTAGTTGCTCATATGCCATTAATTAAAACCACATTCAATTCAATGTATTTTTGTAAAACCCTAAATCACAACAGTAGTCGTCTCGAAGGAATTTGCATTTTGATTGTTGAATTTTGTTTTGATTCACAGATAAGAGAATCAAACCAAATGCAATAATAACAAACGCCTAAGAGCCATTGGTTCATAAATGTCCTTAAATGTCCTGGATCATCATCACTATCTTTAGACCCTTCTGTGTCGACAAGAAACAATTCAAAAACCAAAAAAAACAACATAAATCAATTCTACACTCCCCCAAACAAAGAATTGTACCCATGATGTTATTGAAAAAAAATAATATCTATAGTGAAAGTAGTGAGTGGCTTGTAAGTTCATTATTTAACTGTTGTATATACGAAATAATGAAAAAGGCAAGTTGAGTAAATCATTTTGCCCCAAAACCACAACTGGATACCTGATTAGAATTTGTGGGCAAGCACAATTTTCTAGTACATAATAAAATAAAAGTGTAATTAAATTATAGCCCTAACGTCGCCCCATTCTCAAAAACAGCTGTCCAGGGAGTTCCCGCAGCAGATTCCCAGAACAGGTTTATGTGAATAGACCCAACCCTGATAAGCTGCATTTTTACCTGTTGGGAAATTGTCAAACATTATTACACACAATTTTAACTAGGCAGGGAGAGAGGCAAATGCCAGGGCAGCTTTTGTGTTTTTTTCCAGGGAGTTTGCTGGGACTATTTTTCTATATGTGTTTAATAGGGATTTTTATGTGAATGTGACAAAATAATACTGATATCCATTTAATGTCTTTCTCCGTTCTCTCTCCAGACGTGTCCACGCTTGTTGCCGTTGCCGCCGCTGCGACTTCACCGCCCCCGACTCCGGCGCCCTGCTCGACCATTTCAACTCCGCCCACTGCCACGACTCCGTCCGATCGCTAAACTCCTCCCCCTTGGCTTCCTCGCTCACGCCTTCCCTGACTCTCTCGACCAACGGCTGCTCAGCTCCCTCTACGTTAGCCATCAAAGAGGAAAGCAAAGGCGACATCCGGCTGCTTTACTCGCTAGCGCCTCCGGAGGGAAGACTGGCAGAGGCGGGCAGAGATGAGAAAAGTGACAGCGGCGAGGAGAGGGAGAAAGGATGGGTGATCGCGGACACGAGGGGGGATAGAGGAGGGGAGCAGGCACACGGTTTGCTCTGGGTGCCCAAGGAGCGAATAGGGCCTGAGACCGGACCCGAAAGTGGAAGTCCTTCTCTCTTTCCCACCAACCTGTCCTTCTCATTTGTCTCACCCAATCACGAATCCCCACAGTCAAAAAGAGGCTCTCCCAGTATGGTGTATCTTAGTGACACCAAGGCGTTCATGGGAGATGCTAAGGCCTTTTTGAACGAAGCCAAACTGTACGGAGGTGGAAGGTCTGGGGCGGGTGGAGTCGCAGGGGAGAAGCAGTTTGCGACGGCGGCTGGAGGCGGGGTGACCGGAGGAGGTGGGACCGGAGCGAGTGGCGGACAGGAGGGCAAGGGAGCAGCCAAAGAGGAGTCCCAGTCCCTGCTACGGGTAAGGCCTTTTCAAATACATACTTTTGCTAAGCACTGCGGACTTCATGTTCCCCTTCACTCTGATTCCAATACTCCTAGATTGTGTTTATGTGACATCGTAACATTCAAATGAGCCTAAAGTTTGAAATTGTTGTGAAGTTGAAAATATTTTCAGGTAGTTAAGTCTCCAAAGTAAGGCCTAAAGTAAAGTAAGGCCTAAAGTTTTTCTGTCATTCCTGGGCCAATTACACTTGAAACAATAACAAACAAAATGTATCAGTACATTTTGTGTGTTACTGCAATAGCTACAAAATGGTGAAAATATTCAAGAAATATATGCATAAGAGGCGGGTTTGGCGGGTTTGGGAATCTTTTCACGATCAAATAGTGGTGTGGAAAAGGTTAGAAAATTTTCTTTAAAAATCTTCAAAATGTGCTTCTTTATGGTTATTTTTTTAATCATAAATGCGACCTATTAGAAATGAATCTGTCTTGCTGTTCATATTGTTTAACCTACTTGCAAAGGGTTGTGGAGGAATGCAATGGAACTTTTCTCATGGATCAATGCCATAGATTGTAGACGCAACTATTGGCAATGCAACATCTCATCCATGGAGAGAAGCTAGTCGCTGACACAAGAAATGAGTGTGTTCACAGTTAAGTGTCAATTGAAGTATCTCGACTTTAAAAGGTTATAACTTAAAAACTAAAATTACTATCATAGATTGGAAAAAAGATTTCAAACACAGACACATCAAAGAGATAGTGTGGATAAAATCAAAAGGAAAGATTGTCAAATATATTTTTGGTGACATTTTAAACGACAAAATCAGCCTCTTTTTTGACCATTCTACTGTGACGCCAGTTACATAGAAAATAAAATGTCCTCAGTCTGAAAAAGCGGCAGATGAAATCCCACAATATTTACATGGTTAACACAACATCAGGAAATCACTTGATATGAAAAGGAATCGTTTAAAAATAAAAAATAATTAATTAATTAAATGACCCCTGAAAAATGTATAACGGACGTGATGGTTTCCGTCCTCTTTTCTCTAACATTTAAACTTGAGAAAGAAAAAAATCTTGACTGGTTTTACATTTAATTGGTTGACTAAATGAAAGTATCACTTTGTTTCTACTCTGTGTAAAAAAATAGAATCTCTGAATCAATTGTGGACATCTGAAAATACCTATCAAACTTCCGCAAAGCTCATTCCGTCAATTCATCACGTCCGTTAGATAAAATAAACAGGGCCGCTATAGGAAACTTGTCTAATGTATAAAACAGTTATGTTCTAGCAACTTCTAAAGGACAGAGGAGGTGCTTGGAAACATGAAAAACATAAAATATCTTCTGATTATTAAAATCTAATTTTTGGCCTTTTGTCACACTTTTGTGCCCTTTAGTGTGAACAAGCCAAAATATAAACTAAAAGGGTAATACTTAATGTTGTTTTTTGCCACTTAGATAGAATCCATAGACATTTTCAGGTGGCGCTTTTGAATCCAGGTCTTTGTACCACTTCATACTCGCCGTGCCCGTTGAAAGCATTAGCCATCAAAGCGCTGCTATTATTACACCTTCATCATTTTTTCTTTGAATCAGATGTGAGGATGGGGCGTCGTGTAGCTAGCTTTCACCGACCCACTCAAACGCAAAGCTCTGGACTGGTCCTGGGTGGCCCTTTTTGTCTGTGGATGAAATTTCCCCAAATCATTTCCTTTCCCAGAAGTATCACTGGTTATTTTTTAGTATTTGGCTCGATTCTATAATGCAAAACCCGCCTGTTGTCATGACACCCGGGACGCAAACACAGACACCGGCCACCTGTCAGCAAGCCATCACCCGCAGCCGCCTTGACCTCGGGTGATGTCATGACGCGGCAGACTGGGATTGGCTGCGGTTTTGTCGTTCTTTGTGCTCATTGGCTTGGATTAGGTTATATCAGATTAGAAAATTGCCGGTGACTTGTTGCGTATTAGGTGCGAGTGGTTAGCCGTGCACTTTAGGGGCCTGTGTAGTGGATTTGTACATATCTGCTGCAGTTGTGGCGGTGGCAGTGTCTTGGCAGAAAAAGGCTGGGTGGGGCTATAATAGGTTCACTCATTATGAAGGGTGGAGCAGTGCCTGTGTGTGTGTTCGTGTGTGTGTGCGCAGTCAGGCCGAATGCGTGAGAACAAAAAACGGAAAACGATATGAAGAGGTGCGATGACTCATGCATAGATAAAGGAATACGCAGAAGAAAAAAAAGAAGATATTTAGGGCTGGATGCTTGAGAATAATGGTATGTGGGTCACAGACAGGAACATTGAAACATCCGCCTTGCATAAGACTTTTGGATTTTATAATTGGGAGTTATGGAAGCTTGTAGTTGCAGGGGGAAGATGTTTGTTTCAGCCTGATGTACTGACAGAAACAGAAAATCATTTGGGGAAAAAATATCAATAACAAAAAGAAAAAATGTCTGTCTTTGCTGACCCTTTGTCTCTTCGTTCAACGATCTAATGTAGTACTTTTCCGTTCTGATACTACACAAATAGAATAGCAATACAGATTTTTTTTTCTTATTCACGAACATTATGTATGTGTTGGACTTGGACTAATTTCTAAAACAACCTTTTTTCATGGCACCTTTTGGGAAAACATTACTTTGAGGTGAAGTGTAGATTTTGATAGGGGTTGGAGATGAGTGGCAAGACAAATGGTGTGTGTGTGTGTGTGTGTGTGTGTGTGTTAGTGTGTGTACATATGTGGATGGATGTGTTTTTGCTGCTACTGCTCACCCTTATCTCAATAAAGTATCTATCTATCTATCTATATGGAATGTATGTATGTATGTATAACATGTAGGCGTTTCTGACTATACCCTAAAATAAATAAATAAATAATCCACAGCAGCCTGCAGTTTCCAAAAAACAATTCTGACATGCTTTACATTTTATGCGGACTTTGATACATCTTTCTCTTTCACTCTGCTAATGCATCCGGTAATACATTGTAAGTGAATATTGGGGGGAGTGAGGCTCAAACACTTTTATAATTCATCCGACGACCACAAACTAGACAAGACTTATTACTCTAATGGCTTCATAAGATACGGCCTTTGCTTCCCCCTTTTTTCTTCACAACACAATATTTATTCCCCATGGCTCGGGCTGACACGCGCTACACGCTCTGATCACACCAGCATCCATTTTACTGTCGGCTCATTCATTATCATGATACATTCTCAAGCAGCCGACTCTTAGCCCGACATCACAGATACCAGTTAATTGTAACCCTAACCTTAAGACATTTAAAAAAGATAGAGAGTACAAGACGCGCACGCTCCGGCTGACTCATTTCAGGGAGGGGAGCTAAAAGGATCATCGATACTTAAAGCCACACACGCATAGAGAAAGTGAAAAAGGCGCATGGTTCAATTTAAATGCAGGCTTTGACGCAGCAGGAACCAAAGTCTGAATTCTAAAGGGTAAAACCGCCCATAGTACAAATGACTTTTCGTAAATGGCAAGTCTGAATTCTTGTGCTGGTAGGTCGAAGGTGAAAAATCCAACATATTATAGGTACATTATTATTATTATAATTTATTGTGAGTGGTTAGGTCTTGGCCTTACCGCTCTGGCCTTACGCACTTCCATTTCTGCTCTGGTCGGTGAGCATGTAATAAAAAAATCAACAAAAACTGATGAAAACTGATTGTATTTGAGCAATTTTTAAAAACGCAATTCCCTTAGTTATTTCCTGATCAAGGTTTTCCTTTATCTTGTAACAGGAAACCTCAAAATCAATCAGTAACTACAGTATCCAAAAAACAATTCCATTATTTTGTGTGTAAAAAAACAACTTGACTCTTTCTTCTCTATTCACCTACATGGATAAAAGCATTTTTTCGTTGGCATTCTTGTTTTGTATGGACATCGGTGTCGTTAGGCGTGTAGCGGTTCTCTTGGCAACCCCCCCACTGCCGTCCACTGCATCCTGGGTTGCTCCACTTAGTTATCATCGCTAAGATTATTCCCATTTGCCTTAAACAGTCTCGATACGTTGAAAAGCCCTGAATACCGTTTCTCCACATTTGTACGATGATGTCACAAGTGCTATGGTGCTATTGGTCATTTAAGCAACTACATTTCCCATTGAAATGAATGAGCAGACCCGGAGCCTGTCATAGTGACGTCGAAGGCTTCTCTGCTTTGTGTATGAATGGTGCTGTACAAATAAACCTGGTCTTATGTCTTAAAATCCTTAATTCTAATCCCAACATATGAAGCAAACATACGTCAAATATGAATTAAGTTAAATACAGTATATATACAGCAGGATTTTCTCAAATTTTCTCAAATGTTTCCACTTTTTGAACAAAACTTTCCCGTCTTATTTGACGAGCACGTATCACCAGAATGATTGACAATTAGGAGGACCAATAGTCTTGATGATCCACCCGGAAGTAGACAATTCCCCTACATACAGTAACTTTAAGTAAGAATTATCTCATTTTTATACTTTTATTCTCAAAGGTTGGACTCCTTTTGCCTTTTACCTGACCTAACCTCGACGTCTCCCTCTATCTGTTTTCTCAAAGGACATTCCACGTGATTCGCCGAGATCAATACATAACTCCGGCGCACACAATAAGCGCCTTTAGTATTCTGTTTAGACGAGCGCTTTGCAGAAAGACGAATATTTTATTTTGAAAGGCCTGATATATAATTGCCGCTCTGTGTTGCCGCGCTGAGACATTGCGCTGCTATTGGCTTTGTTTTTATAGTGATTGATTACATTGAGGACATGTTTGCCATCTGAAATGTTATTTACGGGCCATTTGACTGAGGACGAGGATAGAAAGCTTATGAGGTTGAGAGAAGAAATTGAAGTAAAAGCCGGATTGAAGATGCAGTTTATAAATGAGAAAGGATGTGTTTTGAGTGATCGGGGTTTTCTGGATCTGAAAAGGTCTCGCTATGAAACATGTGGACATATTGCGCGAATCGGCTCAAAGTTAAGCTCATCTAACAAAGTCCAGAAGGGAATTCCAACTCTTAAGATGCTGTAGTTACGCAGATAAATGGACATGGAAACGGCAGCTTCACACACCCCATTGCTCATAGATTTTGAACTTTTCTCCGTTTTTTGCCGATTGCAGTTCAATCATTGTTAGTGGTTGCGTGACCCAATTTACTGTCAAATAAATGTGTTTTCTATTTTCGAATTTCGACAGCAGAAACTACTCGACTGACCCTGATTAGAAGTTTCCATCCCCAAGTTCTCAATAGCGTTTAACATCTATGGCAGCTTTGAGTTTTTTGTGGTAATTGGGTTGAATAAGGTTCTTTATCCTCTCTGGTGGTAAAGCTGCACATTCTTCTCGGCAAAAAGCCTCCAGTTCCTATAAGTTCCTGGACTGCCTTGCCTTGAACTACACATTTGCTCTCTCCACAGATCGGCTCAAATACGGAATGTTTAATGTTAATTTGAAAGTTGAAAATGTCAAAAAATATGCCCAAACAAATGAATCAAGTCCCTGTGACTGGGTCTGCAAACTTACAACTAACACATTTATGAGAAAGAACCTATTATTTAAGATAATAAGTTAAATTGATAATACGTTAAATGGTAAAATAAGATAAAATAAACCCAGGAGCTATAATTGTACTTGGTTCAGGAGTTTTTACAGATGTAAAGTGTATATTGTACTAGGGTGGCACTCGAGTGGATCGCACTCTCTCTTCTCAGCAAGAAGGTCCTGGGTTTGAATCCCGGTTGGAACTGGGTCTTTCTGAGTGGAAATTGCATGTTCTCCCTGTGTCTGCATAGGTTTCCTCCGGGTGCTCCGGTTTCCCCTACCACTAAAAACATGCACAATAGGTATGTGTGTTCTGGACTCGCTTCTGTCATCACCGTGTGTGGAATGATTGGAACAATATCTGACTCTGAACATTGTAAAGCGCTTTGGGTCTGTACCTTGGCCTGTAAAATGCGCTTTATAAATAAACATTACTTACTTACCACTAGCAGTGGATAAAATGAGCAGAATAAATAATAGTAACAATATCAGCAGGTAATAGTGAGTGAATGACAGAGCTATCAGATGGATGGACATGTAATAATGCAGCAATAGCTGATCTGAAATGTAAATGTAAACGTACGTATTGAGAACTACACCCTTGTCATATTTTTTTTTTTAGTTGACGGCGTGTTATCTTTTTTTCCACATATCATTCCGTCGTTTTCATGCCATGGATTTGTCATTGTTTTTTCTCTTATGTGGTTACAAAGCCACAGTGAAAAACCACAGGGCTTTTACAGCCGCCCCATGCGTGACATTGAGATCCATTTGAGAGACGACTCCGAGAGATAAACGCAATGTGGGCTGAGGCAGATCACAAGAAGAGTTCCATTTAAGTTCCTCTCGTTTACATTTGTGCCCGACGGAGCTAATTATGTTTAAGGCGCGCGCACACAAACCCGCACGCTTACACAAACCCGCACGCGCACACAAACCCGCACGCGCGCACACACAGCCGCATTCCCACAAAGTTCTCATTACTCTACTTTCTATTTCCTCTCCAGTGTGATCAACTTCCTTATTGGCAACCGCTGGATGTGTGTTTGAGTGTGTGTGAATTGCTTTATAAGGAAATTAATGTATGAATTGAACTTATTTTCTCTGCTGATAATTTAACAACACTCTATATATCCGCTGCAGGAAATTATAGAGCCGGCTGATGCAGCACAAAGGAAGTGATTCTGTGTGGCCATATAAGGACTTTAAATGCACATTGATCTTATTGAGGCCTGTTACAAATTGCATTGGTGAGATGCGGGAGAAAATATGTAATGCTGCGATAGTTTTGGGC